CAGGATGTTTTTTTTTAATTTTAGCTTATAAAGGACAAGAAGAACAAAATAACTACAATGGTGTTTGCATGTTAACAAACTCCATTACACACAACACCAAAGTTTGGTCGCTACTTTTTTTCACAGCACCTAACTTTCCAACGGATACATTGCCTCTGAAATAAATAAAAAAAAAGTCTGTGAATATAACTGGTGCGGCTTTTCAGTTGCAGGTGAACTGGGTCCACAGCATATATAAAAAGGACAATGCAGACACAAGGAATTACTGTTAATAACCTTCAGACCAGCTCACCCCCTCTATTAAAAACCTTGCCACACTCTTTTACTCGTGAGAGCTGTGGGCAAAGACTATGAATACCTGCTGTCTGACGGACCGTCTGCTCACTCGTTGACCAACACCAACGTAGAAAATAAAAGCGCGCCAGTACCAATACGGACATCCCCTGGCTTGGTTACTCTACCCTCCTAACCTAAGTTTAGAACTGATGGCGGTTTAGATTGAACTGTTCGATCAGACTTGGTACTTAATGGAAGAAAAAAAAAAAAAAAAAAAAACCCGAATAACGCGTTTCTTGCATTTTATTCCTTGAAATATCTCTACACAACGTTCTTTTAAATATTGAGGGTGGCGTTAGTAATTCGCAATCATCTCTTCCTGAACGTCTAAGGAACAGACATTCTGAACATAAATATCCCACGATGGGTATCCACATTTACTGTGCGATATGAATGGCGATCTTGCAACACAACTGAAACGCTATTGGCATGTCACTTAACATGTTTATTCCCATATAATTCCTGACTTTACTGGCCCATCTACTATTATTATTATTACAGAGCTGTACTGTTCCCTGAATGCCCTCTACTGGAGAAGAGGGAGATTTATTATTTAACTGTCATCAGGGTGGCAACACCAAACCGAGGTAAAATTTAAAATAAATCACATTAAAACAAAGGCATCCACGCTAAATTGATTAATGCATTCCAACAAATGTTAAACATTATTTAATGTACGGACGCTTCTAATCGAATTAAACCTGGCAAAGCGAATATTTATATTATAGTAATAACCGGCAAATTATTGTAACTGCGATCCAGTCTCTGGCACAGTTACTGTGTCACTATATATATATATAAAGTACTTACTGCGAGACTCCTGTTGAGCTGCAGTCCATCGGGAATGAAAACAGTGCGATAGAGGTCGTGCCGACACCGCAAAGCGAGCACCGTGTGGTGATGTTAGTAACGAGATGTTTTGTGTTATACTTGAGATAAAACTCCATTCTCGTAGACACGACGCAGATTTAATAGCTCTGCTTAAAAGCATCGTTTTATTTATGAGGAACAACTATCCGAACACCAATGAGCGTCCTTTAAACGTTATACTGTGATATAAAAAACGTGCTGTAGTCGCCCTTACAGCAGCCTACACGGCGGAAGCCATGTTCCTCAGACCTGAATAGTTACTCGATCGACTTTGCCTGCAATGGAAAAGCAAACGATGCCAGATAACACTCGAAAGTGACAGGACATGGCCTGAATGAGTCCTGTTTTCTGCTTTTCAGTTCAACGCTGTTGGAGTAATAAACCTATCTGAACTATCTTCAGAACAGACCCACAGTATGAGAGCGTAGACTCTGTCCAAAGTTCAATAGGGGGTGAAAAGTTTTGCTTCAATTTGTTGAAGACCCTGCCTGTAGATCCTCGTATACAGAATATTTTCTGTTTATTCAATTCAAGATGCTTTATTGGCATGACCGATTGAGTAAAAGCAGTGTTGCCAAAGCAAATAAAATAAAATTAACATGAAACAAAACAAAAAATAAAAATAAAGTAAAATCTACAGACATATTACAGACATTTACAAAAAAGACATATCATAAAATATTTACATATACTGTAAACATATGGAGCATTATAGGGAGACAGACTCACTGTTCCTCAGGCTGTGACAGGAGATCACATACTGGGCTGCCAGTTCAACTAAATTCCCACCTCCCTTTCCCAGTAGGATTGGGACACGTGATTCTGGCAGGTGTGGGAACTCTGGGATCAGATTACTGAATTTAGGGAAGAATGTTTCTCTAATCCCAGAATATTTGTGGCAATGCAGTAGGAAGTGCGTCTCTGTCTCTATTTCTCTATTTCTTTCCGCTGGCAGTGGGAGCACAGCCTGTCCTCTCTGGGCAGCCAGGTCTGCCTGTGTCGCCCAGTTTCTATGGCCAGGCTGTGGTCACTGAGCCTGTACTTCTTCAGGGTCTGTTTCTTTTTACCGTTTCTTAACTTGGTCAAATATTCGGCAAGTGTGTATTGTCTGTTTAGGGTTCTGTAGCATTCCAGTTTATGTTGTGTTTGAGAGATATTGCGGTTTGATCTGTTTATTACTGACATCGTAGAATTCCCCTACCCCCCCCACAGATCTCGGACTGTCCTGTCACCCCTTGACGTAGCTCTCTGGCAGGTTCGCCCCCCCCACTGCGCCTTTTAGAAAGGGCTACCCCTAGCTCTTATAAAAAACTGCTCTCCATCTATCTTTCTCCGCTACCAAGAACACCTCTGTAACCTGAAAGGGTTCAATTCTCCGCCTTTTGAAGCGGCACACCTGCTGCGTCAAGTCTCTGTTGGCGTGCACCGCCGAACAGAACGTGGGACCTGTTTGCCCAAATCTGTTTGATTTAGTAGACGCTTTAGTTGAACATAATGTGGTCACGAAAGCCTTTTTGGCGCGCATACAACCTACGGCGAATTTCAGGTTCAAAGTCATTACTGTAATGCTCCAGGGTTCACGTGGGTAGGCGCCCTCGCCGCTGCCGCCTCAGGTCAGCCCCCCACCGTCGGGGACTCGAACCCAGGCCTCCGGCGTTAGTCAACAAGGACCCAGCCAGTTGAGCTAAAGGGAAACTTCCCATCAGCCTGGCGGCTGTGGTCTCAGCTATTCACAGGGAAGGGCGGTGACGTCACCGCGCTGGTAAGCCGGCTCGAACAACCTGCAATGGTGGCCGTATGCGTTACACTACGTTACTTTAAATGAGAGAAATTTCCCTGTTCTTATTAATTTTAGACATTATTTTAAAATAAAAATGCATCTCTATAATAAAATAAGAATACGGAATCACAAAACAACATTTTATCCATGAGATCAGTGAGCTTTATTAGCCTATCGCCCATCAAAAAACAAAACAAAGTAACTGGAACATTTTTTCTGCTCAGAAACAGAACATAAACTTCATAAAATGAACGGCAATAACAGAACATGAAAATGAAAATGTATAACAGTGACTTGGTGGATGTAAAAAGTGCATTAACCTTCATCGGTATTCTGACAAAATAACATAGAACACTGCTAGAATATCTACAAAAAACAACACAAAAAAAAGAGTTAAACAACTGTAACAGTAATTAAAATATAAATGCGGCAATAAAATCTGGTTTACATTCTAGTTAAAAGAATGTAGGTATGTACATACTGTAGGTTAAACACTCCAGTCATCCTTCAAGGCATTTATATCTTGAAAAATCACAAGTTATGTATGTTACAAAGCAATAAATTAATAGATGTAAACCTGGTGCAAATAAATCCAATTAAGCATATGTGAATATCAATTAGGCAATAGAGCTAAATTGGAAAAAACAAAAAAAAACTGGAGTACTGAATCTGAATACATTAAGGGTTTCACCTTTCCACATTTTTCTACCGTATACCTTAAAATAAAAGGGTTACAAATTATACAAGTGCCACCTTTTTGTATTTCACAAGCAAACATTTTCTTACATTTTTATGAGCAAAAAGCAAACCACAGTGTATACTGACGCAAAAAGGCTGCAGAAATTATGATAAATATGGTCCATTGTTGGCCCTATCAGTATGTTTTTCTTCTAAGAAGAAGGATTATAAGTAATAGCACTGTTTCAAATTGAAAAAAAGTAAGTTCTAATGGAATTCTAGCTTCTGCTTTTGGTGATATAAAGTAGACTTTAGCAAAAGGTTAACAAACAGAAAATAAAGAGAATGTACACGGTTATAAAGTGTGCTCGGATATTGCACTTTCATTGATGTCGTAAGAGCTAGAGAGTGAAAATGAAAGATAAACACAGTAGCTATTCTGCTTAGAGCAAGTTCAAAAACAAACAAATATAACATGTTGAAACCATACATATTTCAATGACTTTATTCCCTTGCATTAACTGCATTAAAATATTTGAAAATAAAAACTCTCACTCTTGAATAAAATATCCTTGAACATAAACTGACTAAAATTAATAGAATAATATTATTGTGTGTTTTGTAAGAACTCCAGAAGTAATACATTCATAGACAACATTAGAAAATGTAAATCATAACACATCAGAAAATGAAATCAATACAAAACCTTATTAAACATGTAAAAGTATGAGTTTTTTTGTCCCAAGACCAGTCTCTGTATCTCAGGCAACATATCTTAGCATTTAGCGCAATTTGATTTTCCCCAATTACTAATTAAGGGCAATTAAATTTCTTATTGTTTGGACTGGTAATACCGTAAACAAAAAGTATGTAAACAGAATAGGAAAATAAAATTATCCCTGTTTAATTTCAATAAAGTAGATGCTGCAAATTATTTAACTTTTGTATAATTTCTATAAGCACCTGCTTGAACAATAGCCCTAAACTGTACAATGAAGTCCTTGAAGTGAATTCAAATATTCTTCTCAGTCTGTTTCATTCCAGCTTGAGCCTTGGTTGTTTTGACTATTTTATCCACAAATGATCTGGGAATCAGTGGTCCCAGTTCAATCACCTGCTGTTCATACAAGGTCTAGGGAAATGCGGACCAACCGTAGCAGTTTCATGCCTCTTATGAAGCATGCCATACTTCTAAAACAGCCTCAATGTCCCCTTAAGAGGGGGGGTTGGTTTGTGCATACAGGCCCCTTGTTTTTCTTAAAATTAGGAAACCTCCTGGCTGCTAGCTTCCTTTATCATCAGCCGACTGAGGAGGGGGAAGTCATCCCAAGATGCACTGCAGACTCTCTCCTCTTGTTCGTCTCCATGGTTACTTAGAAAGACGACCTCTTCCTCTTTGGCACTGCTGAACCACAGATTCTCATACTGCTTAGGGCTGGGGGACAGGTCCTGGAGAAGGGGCTGAGTAGAATCAGATCTGAGGTAGACGGGTGTCGTGCCCTGCTGGCTTCTGTATTCACTGAAAATGACAGTGGCATAAGGCTCTCCCATATAGTTCTGGTAGTCTTTGTGCTGCAGGTGGTCGCAGTCCTTTTCTATGTGGGAAGAGCTACAGATGGGCATTCCTAGGTCTCCAGTGTAGCTGTAGGGCTGCCAACATTCATCTTCAGGTTTGAGGCCAGCTTTTTGAGTCCCTTTTTCTGTCACATCATCAGAAACATCTAAGATGCTAAACCTGGAAATGTTGACAGGCGATGGATCCTGCAAGTCCTGGAAATGGCGTTTATCCTTCAAGAGAAAATAATCATAATTTATTTTAATGTACAGTGATAGTATTGACTTAGAGCATTTAGAGATATTTAATACAGTGCATCTTAAGTAACTTTAAATCTACTGAAAAATGATAATCTCAGTTAAGTTTTTGAATTAATTTATTTGAAGTAAGTAGACTTGGTTAAAGCATTTGTGTATTAAGTTTGACTAATCTGCCTCCCAACTCAGGGCTTGAAGTCATGTCTTAACCTGAGGATTAATGCCTCTTCATGGTGAATTCCACTGGTACTTACCTTCAAAGCTTCATTCTGCGTCCATTTCTGAATGCTGCTATTGGCAGGATCTGGGACAACAGGCCACAAACGCAGCTTGAGTCTTCAAAAAACAACAACATCAATGTCATTCACTCTAGCGACACAGTTCAATCAACAAATACAAGAGGTAAATCATTGATGCTGACATACTGCCAAAGATAGCTAGAACATCTGAATATTGTTGAACACAATTACGAAACCAGAACATAAAAAATCATAACAATCTGTACATTTATAGTTCTGCAAAGAAAATTCAGACTTTTAACTCATTCTTTTGTTTAAACTAAGTTCAAATAACAGTGAAGTTGGATGCGAGATGATTCCTATGTCAAATATTTTGGAATGCTAAATAGTAATGGTACTGGACAACAGAATCCATAGAAGATGGAAGACTTTTCATGTTTGCACCACAAACATCTAACACAACACACCTAAACAAACTCACCTCTCTTGCTTTGCAAAACAAGCAGATAAAGTAATCAGTATGAAAACAGCTAGACCGACACAAGCAGGGACAACTGTGGACAAAATACTCCAGGAATCTAAAGAAAAAGCAAAGATGTGTAAAAATAAATGTTTTGCTCCTATACAGAAATGTCAACTGCTCCAAGCTAGTCAAAATAAAATTTGACTGTCAGTTATACAGTTTTAATCTGCATTGTGAGATTATTCCACATCACTAGGAAATCCCGTTTTGAAAAAAAATCCTTATTGATTTAGAACAGTTAACAGACATGGCCTGGTCTGGAACCTTAACTCTAAATCCACTGCCAATCGTATTCTTTGCTTAACGCTTCAGCTCTAACCTTAATTCTCCCTCTAACATTTGCTGCAACATACACAAAATTCCCAGTGATCACTCTTGCCCCTTTTAAACAGGGAGCTGATCAGGATGAGGAGATCCTTCTGTTTCACTTCAGTTTTGGTTAGGGATTGTACTGACATACAGTAGGTCAGAAACGGTGTGAACCTTACCTCATCACATACGCATGACTGTGACTGTCTCAGGGACATTAATAATGACTGCTAGCCCAAGCAGTCTTGTAGTTCATGTTCAGTATAACTCCCTGATAATGACAGCACTTTAGGAAGTTCTCTAATTATATTTTTATCACTTACACTGGAAATTACAGTAGATGACGGAGTAAAAATGTATTCTCACCTATTTTTCTCATACTGATAGCTATGATTGTTCCATTTATACTTCCTGCATCATTGCTAGCCATTATGAATACTCTGTACGATGATGAAGGCTTTAGGTTATCGAGAATCAGTTGACTTTGTGGGGTCTGGACAGTCACACCTAAAAGTAACAGATGAAGAAAAAATAATGCAGGAGAGCAGGGAGTAGATTCCAGGCAGTTGCTGTTTATCAGACACATCACCAACACTGTCTGGGTGTTTATCAAAGGTTTACAAAGGGATGATTTAATTCCCAGGAATGAGTTTCTGCTGTCAAGAACCATCTGGCACCACTATTTCATCAAGATTTTGTTCAATTTAGAAACACAAACTGCAAAGAATATGGCGCCACCTGCCAAGTTCTTAAAAACATTCAGCTATAAGCAACAAAAGAGTTTTCAGCTTCTTACACAAAACAAGCAGATAAAGTGATCAGTATGAAAACAGCTAGACCAGCAAAAGCAGGCAAGCAGGGAAAACTGCGGATAAAATACTCCAAGAATCTGAAGAAAGAGCAAAGATGTGTATAAATAAACATTTTACTCCTACACAGAAATGTAGACCGCTTTAAACTAAGTGGTCCAGTGCACAACAGATTGGGCTAGAAATTCAAACCCCTTGACTGGTAAGTACATGCATGTTACTGTTTTATTTGGCAATGCAGTACAGTCCTCTCTCAATGAAGAGATCGCGGGGTCTGAAATGTTCATCCCTGAGTGGCCAGGAGGTTTTCCACAGTATATCTCTTTAAGCATCAAAATGACCGTAGTAAAGAACTTGAGAGGCTGATGATTCCGAAGGTGATTATCTGAATAGAGGCCCTCAAGACCACCTGGTAAGAAACGGTTAGCAACACATTTGCTAGTAATGTCTCCGGTTAACCTACTTTTGATCTTGTTGCTCTCATCCAGGTAGAAAATGGTGTAGTTCCTAATGATTCCATTTCGCTCATCCACTGGAATTTCATCCCATGTCAGTTCAGCCTGAGTGTCTCTGACTTGCCTGACTTCCATTTTTGGAGCTCTTGATGGAGCTGTGATGGAGAAAATAATTGGACGTTATAATTCAGACTCCCTTCAGGGGTTACAGGATACAGGTTATATTTAAGAAAACTAAAGACAACCACTATCCACTGATACAGAAAATCAAATTTTGATGGAGAATATTATGGCAAAGTGTAAAGACTCAGAAACAGAAAACTAATAACAAAACCTTTATACTGCCATGTAAACATTTGTCTTGGACATGGATTTAGATATTACAGATGCATATTGTCTCATATTCATCACTAGGTGATAAAAAATAATGATATAATGTAACTAAAATGTAAACATTGGCTTTTGTACACCTCTATGTGGCATGGTGGGAAAACTGCCCACATCACAGTGAATTAATTACCTAAGCAGGGAAAAATGGCCCCATTATTGAGCTGGTTTTGAATGTTGAGCTGCAATTTATTTGCTGTCCACAAGAGGGGACTGCAAGACCAACTTGGTATCTCAAAAGGCATTGCAACATGAACAGACTGTCACATTTATGAACAGCTGAGAGGACTAAAATCCTCGTCAAAGGATGTACCCCATGTTCCTAATAAAACCATTTCAGCTCCCCTCATGACTGTAATAAAAACTGTTTGGACTTGAGCCTCTAAGACTAGACAAACAGAAAAACTACATCCCTGGCACCTGCTCTGCATCACAAACCATAGGAAAATGTGTATATCTGAGATCTTTGTTGCGTGCCTTAAAAAGTAAAACATTTACTACAATAATAGATTTAACTTTCTTGTTTATTATAAAAAATTGACAACAAGCACATTAAAATAAGTTGTTTCCTGAAGAAGCCCATGACATTCCACTTACTGTAAAAAGGGAAAAAAAAGGATTTTTTTCCCTGCTGCACTACATCACAACCAGATACATCCCAATTATTTCTGCACTTACCCTTCTGCTTTGAATATCCTTCCATAGCAATTGGACATCCAATTCCACGTTTGTATCTGGGATAAACAGATATGTTGTACGGTCTGTAGGGTTCAATGTTTTCTGTGGGGAAAACACAAAACACAGATTATCATTTTTGTTCTTCTTCCATCCAGGGTTTTATCATATTTTATGATGACATATCCCCACAATGTGTGTTGATGGTAAGAAGAGTGCAGCTTGTTGCACTGGATTTTCTGAGGGTGATGATTTTATTCACCATGGTTGACAGCAGCGTTAATACCTCATAGCTTGATCTCATCACATGTCAGAAGCTAATATTTCTGTAGCAGGAAACAAACTCTACATAAGGAGGCCAGGGCTGCTGTGATGTGGGCAGTGTCACGTGGCACTGCTTGGAAGAGTAAGGGTCTTTATCCTGGTGTCCTGCCTAAATTACACTCCGGGCTGAACAATCTGGCTTCCTTAAAGTTCTCCCTTAATTCATGAGGTGAAGTAAATTGTCACTTTGCGGAACGGCAGGAAGCCTTCACCCAGGTGGGGACTGTATGTCAGTGGTGGATGAAAGTGGCCCCTCCTCTACTTAAATCCTCTGAGATGAAATGCTCTACATAAAAGGAATTCAAATTTGATTGCTCATGAACAGCCAACCACTGAATTCATGCTGAAATGCTGAATGCGGAATCGAATGTTGCAAATTTAAAACGGAAATAGACCGTCAGCTGGTCACCGGTTGTCCCTATGATCTAGTCAGGCTGTCGGCAAGCCAGAGAGGTTGCTGTTGCTTGGCAAGTCAAGGACACCCAGACCAGCTCAATCCCAAGAAGCAGCTGTGGTGCTCGGCCAACAGCATTCCATCCCTTAGACAACCTCAGTCACTGCCGGTTATGACTTGAACAGATCATGGCTCAGACTATAGGGCTTAATCTGAGCTGTGAAAGATCATCTTCACGTGTTGTGCTGTAACAGGTGCCATACACAAAAGAATCTACGTTTACTGTATGCTGTTACACGTTCAGGTACATACCAGAGATGATGGTTTCCGAATAATTACTGGCCACCACTTTGAAAGAGATTGAACAGGTAGTGTCCTTGCCAGACACTGCACACCATTCGATCACAAAATCCGTTGGAAGTGACGATTCTGGATGAGCCCACTGAACCCAGAACCCAATGTCTTCATAAGATGAAACACTCATGCTCAACACAGGGTCCAGAGCTGATGTTTGAAGGAAAAGAAAATGAGTTAAATTCAGACCAAACAGTCATAATTAACAGTTTCTGTGTCCAGCGTCATGCAGGTGAATGCAGCTAATTGTGAACAGACAAAACTGAGCAATGAATGTAGAAGACAGAATACTCCAAAACAACAAACACGTTGTCTATTCAGCTGAGTGACAATTCCATTTGCTTCAGCTCAAGAATGAATGGAAGGTTCCTGGGTCTTTATCAAAAATAAATTGCAATCAGAGGCCTTGGATGTCATTGGCTTTGATAGCATTAAAATAAATCCATCAAACTAAGTTTATAAGAGCCAAATGTATCTGACAGCTTCCTTTTACTGTATGCTCATTGTGATCCCTGAAACTAATAGTTTCACTGAAAGCATGCATGGATTCCATAAAACTAATTATACAACAGAAAGGTATAAGCAAGTAGAGCTTGTCATTGCTTTTCAGGCAAGAAACATTTCATATGGATTTTGTTCATCTGATCTATTGCTCTTAGTAGCATTTGCCCTTTGTGTCATCTTGAGTCTTGAAATTATTGAGGCACCTTAGAAGATTGGTCCACTAGAGATTTTAATCATTACACATGGACTTGAACCAGTTTTATTACATGAGCATAATTCTCATAACAAAATACACTGTAGTCAACTTTTATTAATACTTTTTTTGAGAATATTTCTAGTAGTTCTAAAAAACATCTGTCTTGCTTCTGTTTTTATAGTTTGTGCTAGACCACAATGTTTTATTATTTTGGACCACATCTGCCCAAGTCCTCTCTATATATAAATATAAACCGAGCCTCAAATGAAACATACTGTGAACTGCAACAAATACACCATTTTAAAATTATTTTTAGCAGGTTCACTGACATTGTATTGAACACAGATCACCTAATTAAATCCTGCTGATTAACATTTGTTACAAAAACAATTAAAACATGATTTTCAGTTAGCTCTGCTCCCCATTTTTCTTCACAGTTTAGAACAGTCCAATTAAAAAACTTCTCCTCAATATTTACTACACCATAGTTTCTTTAAGACTTTCTCTAACTAGAGAATGCTGTTTATATAATTTACACAGAGGGTGATTTCAGCCTGGCCAAACTTTGTCTGGCCTCCTTGAAACTGCTGTTCTCTAGGGTGTGATAATGTAGGAAAATAAACCCTAGCCCAGTGTGCTTTAACCCTAACTGAAAAATTCTCTCTCTCTCTTTGGGGTTCTTAAGCTGTAACAGTGATATCACTGGACTGATATCATATCCTGCTGACACAAATTACCTGTTCAACCCAAGTCTTCCCAGTTTAAGTATAGAGACCACAGGGGATCAAACATAATTTGAATCAGTACTGTGTTTTGTAATGTTTTCAGAAATGACATCCACCACATCATCTCCCCTATTTCAACAGCACCCCTTTACACATTTCCCAAATCCAAATGTGCCTGTGAGAGCAAAAAAACCCAAAGAAATCCCCACCTCTGTTGAGGTTCAGATTGACCAGAGTTGGCCTGGACTCTCCAGCTGAGTTCACAGCTGTAATGTACACTTTTCTGGTGGCTTCATACAGCTGGAAATCACACTGGGTTTCCGAAGTATTGCAGACAATTCTTTGCTGTCCTTGAAAGACCTTGTAGTATACGTGTTGGCTGTTGGCTTTGAACTGCTTGGCCGGCTAGAAAACAATGCAAAAAGAACAAGAGATTCTGCTCAGAGAGAGGTCAAAGAGCAAACTGTCTTACTACTGTATGTCTTTAAAAGGTCACGGCTAACCCCTGCTGCGAGAATTCAAACATATTACACTTTAAATATGATTGCTTTCTTTACGTGTGGGCTGAAGAAACACGTGCCTGAAATCTGTGAGGCCTACGAATCTACTCATCTTTCTTCATACTATCAAAATGAGCTTTGTACAACTGGGATGAGGGAAACTCCCCAAACAGCTTTTGTAAAACTACTAATGCATTCTGTGACAGGTTCTACACCAACTATATATACAGTACTGTATGTGTGTATGTATTCACGCCCTTTTACATTCTGTGTTCAATACTGTACATGTTTTGTCTGTCTTTACATTTATGATAACACAACAGAGCTGTAATTGGATTATAAAATGACCTCTGATTTTGTTTAGAGCACAGCAGAAGATACACTTGTATCTCTGCTTTTGCTCTTTAGAATGGGCCTGTCCATTAAATAAACTCATTTAAAAAAAATCACTGAGCTGTGCTGTGACTTCTTGCATCTCTACAGCTATAGGTTTCTTGGGCCTTAAACCCCAACTGGTTTCTGTGTAGACACCACCACTACGCACTCTATAAAAGCCTGCAGAGATAAACCAGCAGAAATCAGGGAGAACCACTGCGAAGCAGGACTAGTTACCACAACGCGCACCATGACAAAGCAAAACAAAGGCACAGAACAAGAATGGGCAAATCATGTGCAAAACCACGATCAAACAAATACGATGACATTTCTTAATGTAGCGGAGATGGTGTGGTGACGTCAGCGCCCTCCCTGCGCGTAGCAGGGCCCTCAGCTGCCTGGGCTGGGGGAGGTCTCCTTTAGCTCACGAGGTTGGTGCCCTGCGTTACGCCGGACACCTGGGTTCGCACCCCAGGTGTGGGGGACGGAACAGGCGGCGGGGGACACGACCCCGCGCGGAACTGTGATTATCACATTAAGCTCTGCGGAGCTTTACAACACTTTATGATAGTGTGATGGAAGCAAGAAAAGTTTAGAAGGAATCAGACACTCAATCTCCCCACCTTCCAGTATAGCTGATACACATTCTCCATCTCGTTCAGCACTTTCCACCAGGTATCCAGTTCTCCTGAGGGAGCTGAAATGCAGACAATATTGTGAAAATAGATTAAAACAACACTGTTCGGCCCCCTTATTGGAATTATGAAAGCCCCCAACAATCTGAAAGTCATCATTTTTTCTTGCAAACCATTTTCGCATGTTGTGTCAGATGTTTTCATCTGAGTGGCTTGAATGAAAAGATTAAAGAAAATGGCCAGTGGGTCTAATCATCAAATTGGAAGAGCATGTGCGCCAGTTCACTGTTCTGCTCGTCATTTAATTTTAGAAAAAGGCTCGAGGCGAATAACTGCCTTTTCACTTCTTTTTACTCTTAAAATAAGTTTTGCTGCTCTACGTCTACTTATTTCATTCAGATTTCTCTGCTGCCATATTTCTAAATCTGTTTCCTGTAAATTATAACAGCTATGTTAACTCAGCAAGCAGTATCTGCTGTCACTGCAAAGTTATATCACTCTGCAAGGCACACCTGGCAGCCCACTGAACCTCAGCAGGTGTGAGCCTGGCCAGTACCTGGATGGGAGACCTCCTGGAAAAGCTAAGCTTGTTCCTAAAAGAGGTGTTCGTGAGACCAGTAGGGGGTGCTCACCCTGCAGTCCATGTGGGTCCTAATGCCCTAATAGCAAAGGGAACACTATACTGTAAAAAGGCGCCGTCCTTCGGACAAGATGTATAACCGAGGTCCTGACTCTCTGTGATCATTAAATATTCCAGGGTGTTTTTCAAAAAGAGTAGGGGTGTTACCCTGATGTCCTGAACAAATTTCCCCCTGGCTTTTACCAGTAATGGCCTCCTAATAATCCCCATCTTTGGGGCATTATTACTCTGTTTTAGTTCCCACTGATAGTTGGTGTGTGGTGACTGTACTGGTGCACTTAGGGTGCTGTCTCATCATCCAAGTGGGGCTACAACTTGGTGGTGGTGGAGGGCAGTCCTCATTACCTCTAAAGCACTTTGAGCAAAGTGCCCAAAAAAGTGTAAAGAATTACACTTCTCATCTTCACAAAAGCAAACATACCCTTTTCAGGAGTGACGTCTTTAATGGTGTTACTCCAGTCACTCCAGTATCCTTCACTCAGTCGGACTCTGATCTGGACTTCATACTCAGTTCCATGAAGCAAACCACACTGTTCGACTGCCTCCATGCTCTCTGAATTTATCTAGTTCATAATGGGAGGTGAAGCAAGGAAAGAAAACTAAAATTCAGCATTTACAAGTACTACAATGTTGGGTTTGGTAGTTTTGAAACAATTAAATCCCTATGGCTATGCAAGATGTTTCAACAGATATCCACATGGGCATTGTCTATTAATCCTGGGTGTGATTTGTTACTGGTCTGACACCTGACACACAGACAAGCTGAAAGAAATGTAATGGCTTCATGAATAGCTTGATTATATACATGAATAATGAGCCCTCAATATTGACCAAAAAGAGCAACAATCGTAGCTCTAGTAATACAGATTAGAAAATCCATATTTATATAATAATTACAGACAACAAGTGATCCAAAATGTTTTCTAATTATTATTTGTTTGAAATATATTTAGTAAAGACATAATAACTTACCATGTCTGTGGTCCATAACTCATTCTCCGTTGTCTTAAAACGGAGTTCAATAATGAATCTTTCAAGCCAAGAGAGGGAATCAGATATTTTCCATTCAATTTTCAGACAGCCGTATTTTACCTTGTCTGTTTGGACACTCTGTATAACAGGAGGGTCTAATTTTACTAAAACAAAGAAACAAACAAACATAAATGTTAGAGCCATATACTGATCCATTCAAATGCATTTATCTGCAAATTAAACCCATTTAGTTTGTACTTTTTTCAGAAACAGTTTCAGAATCACACCAAATATATTACATTGACCAAAAGTATTATTCTAGAAAGATCCTGGAGGTGGGCTAGACAGACACCTAGGGACAATTAACTGAACACAAAGGCTGATCAATTTATTGTCATCAATGTCCATTATCCATTTTTCTGCAGAAATTGTATGTTGGAGCTCTTAATAGATAGAAAATGATATACAAAAGAAGAAGATTACCAGCATCCATTGGATCCAGATATAATAAATCGGATGTAGTATTCCCCAAAGCATTCACTGCTGTTACAAAAATCTCCATTTTGCTATACAGGTGAAAATCCTTGCGGGGAATAGTGTAGGAGTTGGTTCCAATAGGTGGCACAAAGGTTTTAGTTTCAAAAGGCCTAACAATGAGAAGCCAACAAGTTAAACACTGGTTGGAATTTAAAACAATGCATCTGCTTAGTTTGGCTTTTGTAGTACAGGTGATTCGGAACATCCATGCTAGTCCAAATTAAAAGTTTAAGGTAAAAAATTACAATCATTAACTGAGAGCACATGCCTTTATTAAGAAGAATCCCTATGAAGGCTTAGTACAGTAAATCTGCTCCTGTTTTTCAGCAGTTCTCTCATGATGTTACCATGTTTTGGCTTTGTTAGGGTTCAGCTTCTGTATTTATCAGGCTTTGCTGTACATTTCTCCATTTACCCTGAATTTACTCAATTTTTACCATGACATCCCACATACCCACATAGAAACTTTAAGATAAGATTAGATCACTTTATTGGCCATATACAATTTCTTGTATTAGGAATTTGTCTTTTCGCAGACCCCAGCTTGCTCTCCATGAGACACACAGACAGGGAGAGAAGCTTGGGGTCAGAGCGCAGGGTCAGCCATTTATATGGCGGCCCTGGAGCAGATGGGGTTAAGGGCCTTGCTCAGGGGCCCAACGGAGTAGGATTTCTCTGCCGGCAACCTTCCAGCCACACTTTGATTACTTTGATTTTGCAAATATTTTCTGAACTTATTTAAAGGTGAGAAAAGATCCCCTTGTGAGGCCTTCTAGAAGAGATTAGGAAGATGTAGTAGCTTTGGGTTCTTTACCTTGAAACAGTGTGCAGAATAAACTGTGTAGGGAGGTACGTCTCGCTACTGGGGTTCCATGTGCAAGTGAATGTAGGTGGCTTGGTTAAATTTGTCATGCAGGTCAGGTTGCTTGGTTTTGAAGGAGGATCTGGAATAAGAAGCAAACGCAAGACAATTTTCTATTGTGTAGACCTCTATCCAGATTACAGAACTACAGCCTTGGCTTCTCATTAGAGAGAATGCTGGTTATTCATGTGCTGACAAGTGGTAACAATATACTGTAAGAACAATTACAAATTAGAGGATGTAATGTAGAGCTTGTTTTTTTTTTCAAGTAGCTAATTGATCCCAAGATTTGTTCCAGTTGTTTCTCTATAATGTACAGGGTATTGGATTCATTAACAGGAGTGGGCAGCTTGTTTCAAATAATCAAATCCCTTTGTGTAAAGAAGTGACTCCTGTGCCTAACTGTAAACACATCATTGTCATATCCTAACATTCTGTTTGCCTTTTTATTGCTTCCACACATTGTCTGAAAGATGAATGACCGATTGCATGTGAACATACTCTTCAAGATCAGATAAGAAACAAATACTGCAATGCAAATACTTGTTATGGCTAGAAGGCATTTGTAAGGTGATGCTTTGGTCGGGACAGACAAAATACAGAGAAGTGATTGGAATATTTATACAATCTCTTTACAAAAAGGAAAAAAAACTGATATCTGATAATGAAATACAATGAACAAGAGAAGAAATTTGGATAGAGAACTCAAACATCCAAAGGATATTGATGATTTAAGTTTCCAGTTTGCATATATTTGCTTTTAAAGAAAATATGCTAAATCACAAACCTGAGGGAACTGCATTATACATGTGGCAGAAAGAGATGCAGAGACAAATTACTTAGAACAGATATCCTTCCATTTGGCACTAGACTTGTTATAGTGTACTATTAGTTTTGCTTTTCAAGAACATCAAGCAATGCTAAATAATTGTGAATTCAGAAATCAGAGCTGAGATAATGCAAAAACACATTTATTACAGTGTTCTCTTGTTCAACTGACATTGTTACATTTAAACGTTGTGCTTATTGACATTGCTTGCTGTGTAGTCAGTATGTTTAAAAACCAGGAACCAGGTAAAAATTTCCACCAACAGCTGGTCAATCAGAAGGGTACATAGTTGCAGTACAGGCTGAACTAGATGTCTGCAACCAGGACTCCTGAAGGTAGGGGTGTGATTAGTCCGCTAAGGACGCCTCAGCCATCAGTAGCTCCCGTGATTTGCTGAATACCTTGCACCTGAGGTCAGGTGATGAATGAATGGTCTTGGAGATGGTTGTGTCAGAAAAGCACGTTTACGATCTTCCTGTAGCACCCCCTCAGAAATGGCCCGCCAGCAAGCTGGGTTACTGTACACAAATGCAAAGACAGCAAGGAAATCAAATAGAAAAAGCCTGCATTGGCTTGCCTGTACAATGTACTTACATCCTGCTCTGATCTCAACTTCATCAGCCACCTGATGCTGCCCCTCAAGGATTAGAAAGCAAGACAGGTATCCTCGGGGGATGGTGAAATTGGGTAGGAGCACTGTGGAAACTCCGCCACTTTGGTTCATGTACTGACTCTCTGGAATAACTATGCTGTTCAGGCGCCATTCCATTTGGATATCCGGCCTTCCAATCGGAGTGCAATTATCTTTGGCAACGCAGGAAGCTCTCAGCGGCGATCCCAAGACAACCACAGATGACTGAACTGATATATCAGCACAGTCTGATGCTTCTGTGACTGTGGCAGGCAGAAAGAAAAGAAAAGCTTGTCATGCCAAATATTGCAACTAGCATCACAGATTTAAATATCATCAACCTTATTTGCAAACATGTTTTGCAGTGTTTTAAGCCCAGAGGCTCATAACATAAATGCATTTAATAATCCCATTCATACTCTTTGATGGCAAAAAAGAAACCCACACACAATACTGATGTTACTGTACATGCCATTGAATGCATTAAGTGATATGAGATATATTATAAAAGATACTGTATTTCAAAAATAGTTCAGGTAGTTCTGGCTATAATTCTGGTTGAAAGTTTATTTTAACTGTATTCATGTATATTATTTTGCATTAAATAATCCTTTTTCAATGATTGTTGTAAAATTCATTTATGTACTTGACAAATGGAGAAGTGACACTATGCTTGTGTTTTATGTGTCCCCTCACCACCACCCCTCAGTGTCATTTTTTTTTATAGCTGGTAAACGTCACAGCGGCCTGGAGCCTGTCCAGGAAGCACAGGACGTGAGGCAGGGCAGCATCTAGGACAGGACGCCAGGGACATGTCCTAATGAATTACATGTACTAATTAACCCAGCATGTCTTTGGTAGGTGGGAGGAATCTGGAACACCAGAAGAACACCCACACAGAAGGGGCACAGCAGTTCAGACTTGAACCAGTGACCCACGAGCTGTGCCGCCTCCTCACTTCTGATTTATACTTCAATTTCCACAGTGCCAACAACACTGTTGGCATATGGCGGTTATTGAGAAAACCTATTGTGTGATTCCTGACATCACCGCCAAACTTTAAAACTCCTGCTGCTTTGTCTTTACAAGATCTCTGACCTTTTTCCGAATTCGGAAACAACAACAGAGGTTGTTAACAGATTACAACACTTCTTGCTCTGACTTCTTGACATGAAGGGAAAACCAAAGTTACTTCAATTCTGATTGTGTAACGCTTCCTCAGACAGAAGCTTGTGAAATGGTTCTTTCGTATGATGGTTCTTGTCAACACTTCTCATTTTACAGGTTTCAGTGTATCAGAGATGCTTTTTGTTTTCTCACACAGAAGTGTAACTTTTAAAAACGAAAGCAAGCATTAAATAGATAGACAGTGTAACGAATGATACAATACATACAATACAATCAGTACAGTGAGAAATGCACTAAGAAGAGTTACTCACAGTCCAGAACACACAAAGAACAAACCAGAACAGAACACAAAAAGCTGTATTGCACAATATAAATATAAATGTACTGCACAAGTCCCTGGCATATATTGCACAAAAACGGTTGTAAATGGGAAAAAGAAAAAGAACAGATGTAGCAGTTTACTGTTCAGTCCAGAAACAGGTCACTGTCAATGTGGCCTCTGCCCAGACGCAAGGTGGATGCGTTGTACAGTCTTATGGCAGAAGGCAAGAATTACCTCACTTTAACAGCACATAACCTCACATAACAGCACTTATGAAAGAACATAACAGCAAATAAAGAGTAGACAAGTTTAAACAGATAAGGACCATTTTTTGAATAATTCAGATAAACTATTACTGTGCATTGATAGGAGATGAAGTGAAATGAAAGAATGCAGCAAAGTCACCAGTATTTGTTGTATAAAAAGAAAATGAACTCTCACAGGAGTCCAGACTTCAGATATGCTTGTGTGGGTGATAATTCAAGTGATATTTTGTATTCTCTGGTATCTTATCTGCAGTACTCTGGTACTTATACTGCAGTATTTTTCTGTCGAAATAAGAGGCTTTATTTTGAGGATAAGGCCTCAGAGGTTTTGACGAGTCTTACAGTAATTTTGATTTAAACAAATTAGTCACCACAGCTCCTATCAAATAACTAGGGAAACAGAAGTTTAAATTGCAGCTAAAATGTTTTGTCTAGGTGTATATTGTTATTGCAAAATAATATACACTCAATGTACAAAAAAGCTGAAAATAGAAAAAGAAAAACTTTCTGTAGGTTGATACAGTTTGACTGTGTTTGAGGTACTCATCTTTATTTACTTCATCTTGTATAATGGTACATCCTCTCAAGACAAACAAAACAAACAAACAAACAAAAACTATTTACCTTTAATGGTGCTAAACACCATTATTGTCAGAACCAAAACATCCAAGTTTAGCACAGAGGCCATGGTCCCAAAGCCTAAACAATGAGAAAAAAATCAAATTAATTGCACTCCTGATACATTAAAACTCTGCAGAGTGTCAGGTATGATCACAATCCAAGGCACTACAAGAACTTCTATAAGGTAACGAAAAACAGACAAGATTTTTATATCGATAGGAAATATGGTCACCTAGGCACATTTACATTGCTCTTACACTCTTGTGGCACCTACACACCACACTACTTATGAAAGCTTACAATAGTAAATACATGTTAAGACACTGAAATTCTCATTATTGCTGTTACTGTGAATCAAATTTTGGATTTTTTGTGATCACAGAAGAAAGGTTTACCCCATCTCAAGCGGGGTAAAGGTTGTTTTGCTTGCACACTGTTTTTATCTTATTTATCTTCTTTTGATAGCAAAGGAGGCAGAAAATAACAAACCTCTGCTAATCTACATCTCTCACTTTCTCGCTTTATCTCCCCATCACACATGTTTTTGTAACTTCATTATCTTCTAAAGTCAAGAGCCTGAGGTTTAAGATGCCATTTAAGTTGGGGCCTTCAAACTTTTTAACCAACAACAATAACAAAAACAGCAAAATTGTTGCTAGTGTTATTTTTCATCTTTTTAACGTGGTAATGTTCCTTAACCTGCAGACTTAAAGAATTGCTGTCATGCACTGCCGACAACTGCTTACAAACACTGAGTCAAAAAGTCCATTGTGGTCAAGCAGTGGTCAAACAGAAGCCACTTCACCTCTGTACACCAACTCGTAATTCTCCATGATGCCAATTTACAACATTCACAGTCACAGTAAGCCACACTTTTGCTTGCAGTTTTCTTTCTGCAAGTCTCCTCCACCCCATCTCTGCTTTTGTAAGGAAAACGTTACCTAACAACAGAACAAGAAGCAGATCTCTCTAAAACCCTATATGACTGGATTTTACAGTTATCCCTTGCAGTGCTAACACACAGATACATAGATTGCCTTATTTACCTGCAAAAATTCGGAGAGTCTAGTTCTTTTATAAAAGCTGCTTTCTAGAGCTGCTCTCTAGGGTTTATTTTCAGTGTGTGATATGTTTACGTTTTGCATGCATCATTAATGTAACATTATCAATTCAAGATCTTGATTAAAGATCCCCAGAATGCCTCACGTAAGTCTCCCTGCCAGATATATTACGTATTTTCTTAAAACTTCAACATGTGGCCTGGGGCACTGCACTACACAGCCACACTGTGGGAATTCCTAGAATGTGGAGTGGGAGGAGAAGGAAACAACATAGGTAGGTTTACAACTTATCATCTGACTCCTACATGAAGTTGTGAAAATAAGGTTAACTGAGTCCTAGAAACTAATTTCGGCTGACAGAGAAGGGCCTAGAATTCATTTTGGGAGTGAATTAGTCATTGTATATTGATATCTTGATGCTATGCAATGATCCAATTTGAGTCACATAATCTGCATAGTTATAAGTGCTGCCAGTATCTCACTAGTAACTTCTGCAATTTCTCTTCAGAAGCTCTATTGCACTGATTTTCTATAACCAGAATTAAGCAGGCTTATCTCTTATATCTGGAATGCTGGTGCATTGCTCTCCTCCCCACTGAGAGCTGGTGTGTGGGGAGTGTTCTGGCACACTTTGGTTGCTGTCGCATCATCCAGGTGGGGCTGCACACTGGTGGTGGTGTAGGTGATCCCCATTACCTGTAAAGCGCTTTGAGTGGAGTGTCCAGAAAAGCCCTATATAAGTGTAAGCAATTATTATTATTATTGCAAGCATACCCCTAGCAGTGCTAGTACACATTTATTTGTGCTAGAGCAATTAGGGTGAATTAATGTGTCTGAGGTATTATGGATAAAAGGTACAGTTCACTGAGCAAAAGCAAATGTGACGTGACACCCTGGTTCTTTGCATAGAGATTCAGTTGCCAACTCAAACAGTGACATCATGTCTGCTATGTCTACAGGTACAAGCTAAACACACCTCCTTTTCTCATAAGCTCTCCCTGTTTCTCTACTACAGGTAGAAACACATCATCCAACACTTTAAAAGCCCATTTCTGTGGCAAAACAAATTGTTAGGCATGGCACTTAGGTATTTAAGATGATATGTCAATTTACAGTAAATAAATCCCCATTACATCTAGTTTTGTTACTTGTCACAAAGAGAAACCATTTGTGCATAATCATTTCCATTTATTCAGATGGCAGACATTTTTACTGTATGCAAAGTGATGTACAAATGCAATGATGTAGACGGACATGGGTGTTGATTTCAGAATGCAGCATTTAGCAAGGTCCATGGATTTACTGTAAGGGCAAGGAAGAGGAACTGAATTATTTATACAGTATCTCATATATTATTGTGCTGATTAATATTTTGCAAAGACAGTTGAATTCCTACTATGTTGGTGAAAGAACAGAAGATTTTCTAGTTTTCAAAACACGATTAAAAGCATTGCTAACTCCGATGACTTTTTTACTCTCAAAATTACTTGCAATATTTTTCAACTGTTTGACAGCCCTGTTATTATGTAGTTCCATATCCTCCTCTCCACCATT